AAATTGATCCAGCCTTGAAATGAAATCATAAACACTTATGTTAAGTAATATTGAGTTATACGAGTAATGTTGAAGTATTGTAAATTACCACTTTAAGTTAATCGTACAAATTAACACTACCTCTACAATATAGTGTTGTGTTTACATTCAATTCCCATATAAATACAGCAACATTCACTTTTATAAAATCATAAATGTTAAACACTTAAACACTTCATAAAGAAACATTATTATAAGTTTCATTTCTCAGTTCCAACAAGATGATTTTTGAAAGTTTATTCAATTTTAATACTTTGTGTTTATTTTCAACATGTTTTGTGTTACTCTATTTGTAAGTATTTTATAATAATTATAAATTAAAACTTTTATTTTGAAAAACTAATTTTCATTTACTATCAACAGTTATCTAACAAGGACATTTAACTATTGGAAGTCGAGGGGTATACCCGGGCCAAAGCCAATCATATTTTTAGGTACATTTTGGCAAATGTTTAAAAAACCATTGGGGCAAAATAGCTTGGACAATTACAATAAATATGGCAAAATATACGGGTAATAAATTTATATTTATACTTTTTACCACAATTAAACTAACCATTGTGTTACTTCATGTGCATTTGCAGCGCATTCTTAGGGAGTCAACCGGTTTTAATGATAAACGACCCGGAGCTAATCACCCAGATGAATGTCACTGATTTTAACAAGTTTGTTGACCGCAATAAGTTTGTGTCCGGCAATGGGTTTAACGATAGAAATATTTTCAATCTGATCGGCGATGAGTGGAAACAAATGAGATCTGTGGTAAGTGACCAAGCACACATATTTATTACACTTTAATAATAAAAATTTTATAATAACTATAAGCCAACATATTAAATTATTAAAAATTTTAATAATTGATAAAAATGCAAAATAAAGCTCTAGTTAATTCACAATTAATAATACAACTCTAGATTTGATGAAAATTTACACCCAGTTAAAAATCATTAATTCAATATTTGTGCATGATTAAAACCCACAGATAAGCCCCACCTTCTCATCGGGCAAAATGCGTTCAATGCATCCCATAATCATTGAAGCGGTCAAGAGATTAGAGGCATATCTGGCGACAAAAGCCGAGCGCAAAGAGGAGGTGTCGCTGAAAGCGGTGATGAGTAACCTAACGATGGATGTGATCGCCAGCTGTGCTTTTGGCACCCGTATAGACACCCACACCGACGGCCACACCAGCGAGTTTGTCACTCAGGCCCAGCGGGCACTGGGCGGCAATTGGCGGCTCTGGGTGTTTTTCCTATTTACCTCGATTTTCCCACAATTACTCAAGTGGACCAAATTCTCACCAATTGACCCTGGTGTTGAGCGATTTTTTCGCGACGCGGTTAGTACATTATTTATAATACCTGACAATACAGACAGTGTTATAATCAATTAANCGGGCACTGGGCGGCAATTGGCGGCTCTGGGTGTTTTTCCTATTTACCTCGATTTTCCCACAATTACTCAAGTGGACCAAATTCTCACCAATTGACCCTGGTGTTGAGCGATTTTTTCGCGACGCGGTTAGTACATTATTTATAATACCTGACAATACAGACAGTGTTATAATCAATTAAATTTATAATTAGTTAATTAATTATAATTACTTTAACTATAGGTCTCTTCAATTGCCAAACGTCGTAAATCTGAAAAAGTAAAACCACGTGATTATCTGCAGCTCTTGATCGAAGCCCAGGACAGGGGTAACGGCGCCCACCCCTCCGGTCCCGACACTGACGACAAACTCGACACAAATGCCGAACAGATATTTGCGGAAACGGGCGGTCAGGCGCTGACCGGCCATAAGACGAGTCACCCAATCATATCGGACGACGATTTTGTCACAAACTCAATGATATTCCTGACGGCAGGCTTTGACACGACCTCATCGTTGCTGTCGTTCCTGTGCTATGAGTTGGCCATCAATGAGTTGTGTCAGCAGAGGCTATACGAAGAGATCAATAAGTTTTGCGATGACATTAACTACGAGACAATCTCTCAAATGCCGTATTTGGAGGCCTGTGTGGCCGAAACACTACGGCTTTATAACCCCATCACTACTGTTGGCCGCATTGCCGACGAAGAGTATACAGTGGGTAAGTTATCAATTGATATCACCTTGGTTACATATATTATAAATTTAATTGTGTGTCTATTTGTTATACCAGGCGATACGGGTCTGACAATACCAGTTGGTATGTTTGTGGCCTTTGACTTACATGTGCTGCACCACAGCCCGGAATACTACCCTGATCCCATGCGTTGGGACCCTGAGCGTTTTATGCCGGAAAATCGTCACAAATTAGTGCCCAAAACATATATGCCGTTCGGAACGGGACCCCGAAATTGTGTGGGAATGCGATTCGCGCTGATGGAGGCCAAGACAGCTATTGTACAGTTGGTCCGGCGGTTCCGATTCCGGCGCTCTGTCAACACTACTATTCCCCTGAAATTCAAAAAATTCAACTTTATTTTAGACGCGGAAAAGGATATCAAAATTGAAATGAAAATTAGAGATTAGAATTAAAATTATTTGTTGTAAAGTACTGTAATTAAAATGTATAAATAATATGCTGACTTTATTTCGCTATTATATGTCACTATTCGTGCATTTATAATCATAATTAATTAATTAATCTACATAGTTTTATATTATATTTATTTTTAAAATGTACATATCAATATATATATATTAAAATAATCCCATAAAAGTGACGTATGCATTTCATAACATAAAATAACATTCATTGTTTTCATAACATTGATTCACTTATTTAAATGTTGTTTATTTAAATAATCCATTAAAAGTGACGTATGCATTCCATAACATAAAATAACATTTCATAACATTGATTCACTCATTTAAAATTTAAAATTCACTGTTTATATAACGGGAGGTGTCCAGGGGGTTGTCCTAGTTTATAATAAATATTTTCATTGTAATAGAGTTTAAATGTTTATTTTAGATAATTGCATTTTCTTAATAAATTATTAGTAATAACTTAGTTTTAATAATAACAATTAAACTAGTAACTAATTAAAATAATAAATATTAATATGAATTTCTGTCATTTGTAAATACTGTGTAAAAAGGTGGATGGGGGATTTGGGCTAAGCTGGCACCCGGGATTTGACAATATAAAATGAAAGTACAGTCCATAAGGAGTCCAATGATATAATCTATATGGCCGTACCTACCTCGGGTTCGGCCGTAGTGACCACTTTTATCGGGAATTTTAAACTTATTAAAATTAACATATGATATATGAGATCTATGTAGAATTTAACGTAGAATCAGAGTATATCATTATTATTTGCATGGGACATATCGTTTTTGAAATATTTTTGAAATTAAAAATTCTAATTTCAATTTTTGTTATTTTGACGTTATATATTGATAATTTTTTGAAAACTATACTTTATTCATGAATTAGTACTCAAATAGAAGAAAAATATAAATTATAATGAATAATCATTTTTTAAGTTAAATTCAGTTTTTTGTAATAATTGTCGTATTGTCGTGGGTGGTGGTCGGGGTTGTGGTGGGGCTGTGGTGGGGTTGTCGGTGGTGATGTAATAACTTATTTTAATAAGTTTTGGTAGTTTTTCACAAATTACAAAAAATCTTTTAATTTTACTGATGTGATATTTCTATATTCTGATTCTCCGTTAAATTCTACATTGATTTCATGTATCATATGTTAATTTTAAATATGTTTATATTTACCGAAAATAGTGACCACTTTTGCCGAATTCGAGGCCGGGTTGTCATCCAACTTTTATCATTTGAATTTGAATTTAATATATGTTTAGTATCATAAAGAAAATCGCATTAAATTAACTTTGGACAAAAAATCGCCCACTATGCCAACAAAGTAACTTTTTTCCAGAGGGTTAAATAAAAATTATTTTTTTAGCCAAATTAACATAGAGTCTTCCCCATCCTCCTTTATAGTATGAATAATATTAACTTGTTTTTAAGGCAACCGCGGGGATGCTTTATGGATGCTTTTTTCATAGTTTTGAACACAATAATGACTATTACAACTATTTGTTCATTTTAAAGCATGAGTTAAATACTAAATGTTATGATTTTTTAAACTAATTCATGGCTTTTATTTAGTCTGCATATTAAATGACTCATATTGTGGTTGCCCTACTTGTTTTCTATACAGGATGTTAGTTTAACTAATTAATTAATATTAAAATAATATAAATCATCAAATCAAAAAGATGATAGTAACATTTATGATGCATATTAAGCTATCAAATATTGTAACTGAAAGTTCATTGCTTAAGCAACAAATTAAAAAATGAAAACTTTTTTATTCGTATTGTTTATTGTGGGCACCGATTGTTTTAATATTTGTGATTACATACAAACGAATGGTACGTATAATGGCATTCAAATACAACGAATGTGGACAGTTGGCGGTCTGGTCCGGAAAGCTGGCGGTCGTTATTTAATGTTTGATTCCTATTATATCATGATTTCCAAACATTACACCTGGCCGTTTGCAATTGTATCCCATCAAACCGGGCTTGATATTAATTTAGATGATCCATCGTGGACAGAACCAAGAAAACTTCATGGACCAAGTTGGATTAACAGATTAACCGGATTTGCAAGTAATAACGACGCCTGGAATCCTGTCAGAAATAGCTACGTTTGCGATATTAATGAATTGGTATGCACTATAATTTAACTTACTTAACTCACAAACTTATTTATATATTTATTTACATTTTATATATTGCGAATTAATTAGTCAAATGACACCCAGTCCTCACATATAATAACCAAATGTGAACTTTATAACGGGGGGTAAGTATAATTTGCATATTACTAAAATCCTGATGCTTTTAATGCTGAATAAAATTTGCTACACTTATAATTAGTTATAATAAACAATACATAATAAGTATTATTATAATGATTATAATAATCTCATTCAAAATTAGATACAAATTTGACTTCACATTGCAGTTCAACGCTTATGGCGTTATATTCAGCCCGACGGTTATGACCAAGCAAAATTTACGCAGCAACGGACACAGTTATCTGAGAGTGTTTGATACCAGTACTCTGACCAGCCAACTGCTCAGAATTAATTATTACGGGAGAGGGGTCTTTACAAGTACTCATTATTTCTATGTTGAATTGGCTAACGATGATGATATATGGCATCAAATGCCATTATTTTTGACCATGTTGCCCAATTATTTAAAGGCACAGTTAGAAGGAATTGTTGACTATGAGGCACACAAAAAGGGACATATGCTATGGTTTAATATCAACGGCCGACCCATGTATTGCTTTACATCGGAGGACAAACCACTGTCCAAACAAGTAATGCAAACTTATACAAAATATAATATTAGTGGAATGTAGTATGAACTTGATTATAACCTACAGAGAGATATTTTGTTTGTAATGTACACTACTTATCTGTAAACTCTCTTTTAAACAATCTTTGTTATAGTCAAAGTCATACGATTGAAATTACATTTTTAAAAACTAATAAAATTGTGAAAATTTATTTTTAGTGTTCTTTGGCAGACAATATGATACCATTTGCACAACAGTGCTTTAAAAGTAAAAATAATCTTTCTAACGAGGTAATAGCTACAACATATTAATTAATATATATAATTGATATGAATAATCATTTACATATTAACTAACATGGTAGAAAACGTGCAAATATTTCAAGACCTATGACACCTACAGTGGTGTTCATATATACCGTCACTGGCATAAGGATAATAGGCGTCGAGTGGTTTTCACATACAAGTTGTATACAGGAATGGGACGTGAAGTGCATTTTGCATTAGAACGGACCAACAAAACACACCGGGTTATTATTAGAGAACTTCAAACACGTACGGCAATGGAGAGTGATAATATTTCTGAGGGCTATTACCTTGATTACGACAATGTTACCTACACCTATTACATGTATAAATGCTATGCCAAGTATCTTCTACAAAAACAACCAATTCAATCATGGTGCCTTCAAATCACATGTTATATACACGTAATGAACAAATCGCTTAATTCTGATACGTTGTGTTTCGGGGATAAACCAGTTATAATCAGTTCACATCCGTCCAGTTTAAACCAAAAATATTCATACATTTCCATATTGGATAGGAGTACCGGTGCTTTCACTGAACTTACAATTTTAGTTAATGACATCAAAGGACCAAGTTTAAAATTTGTCGATGCAACATGGTGTGATACGACAATCTATTGTAAGCGTCCTCAATTTATCCAGCAATTATCAACTATTGGTTTGTTGACACACTTGGAGTCGGCCATCGATTACCAGATGTACGACGAATCCGGATATATGCTATGGTTTAACATTTCTGGTCAACCCATGTATTGTTTTACACCCTATGGAAAAGGACTTTCACTACAGGTGCTCAGATTGTCTGTTATTTCTCATAATTATTTATTTATTCATTCTTTTTTTGTGCATTTTTTAGTGCTCTTCTGAAGATAATATGATACCGTTTATGAGCGACTGTTTTGCTTAAATTTTTAATTTTAATTTTATTAAATTTTCTTATTATAAATAACACAATCTAATATAATTCAATTTACAACATTTTAGTAATCAAATTATTATTTAAAATAGTTTTTCTTTTGTTATAACAATTGTTATTATATTTTTCTTTTAATTATTTATAATTAAATTATTAATATTTATGAAATAATTAAATTACAATTTTAAACTTAAATTCATTCAAATAATTTATTTTAATTACTTGATTAAATCAAGTTTGGTATACCAAAGTATATAAGTTTGGTACACTTATACATTGAATTAATCAAATTATATCTCAAATAATACTGTATATTATTTAATGAGTACAGAGGCTATACGAAGAGATACAGGCCTGACAATACCCGTTGGTATGTTTGTAGCCTTTGACTTACATGTGCTGCACTACAGCCCGGAATACTACCCTGATCCCATGCGTTGAGACCCTGAGCGTTTTATGCTAGAAAATCGTCATAAATTAGTGCCCAAAACATATATGCCGTTCGGAACGGGACCCCGAAATTGTGTGGGAATGCGATTCGCGCTGATGGAGGCCAAGACAGCTATTGTACAGTTGGTCCGGCGGTTCCGATTCCGCCGCTCTGTCAACACTACTGTTCTCCTGAAGTTAAAAAAATTCAATTTTATTTTAGACGCGGAAAAGGATATCAAAATTGAAATTCAAATTAGAGATTAGAATAAGTTTTATAATAAGTAACAATAAAACTAGTAAATAATACATTACCATATAGTTCACCACTATGTAACTAAACCAAACATGTTTTAATAATTATAAATCGTGATTCATAATTAATTTTATTAATCTATTTTTTAATTTTGTATAAATATAATAAATATTTTGTTGTAATGCAGTTTAAATGTCAATTTGTACATTTACATTTTTCAACTATTTCGAAAACCAATTAAAATATTTAAGTGATTCTTGACTATACAGGATGTTTACTTTACTAATTAATAAATAAAAAATAATACATTTATTATTGTTAACAAAATTGGTTACAAAATATAATAGTTAAATATCTCATACCAATTAAAATTATAAAATATTTTAAAGGAAAAGCTATTGTGATTACTTAAAGCTGTAAAAATAATTAAATTAATGGAGAAATTTTTGCTTATTTTGTGTATTGTGGGCACCGATTGTTTTAATATATGTGATTACATACAAACTAACGGGACGTATAATGGCATTCAAATATCACGAACGTACCCTCGAATGGACTATGGTATTTTCGTCGCAGATGAGTTTGAGTATGAACATACGATGAGCTCAAAACGTAATGTCTGGCCGTTTGCTATCGTGAAAGCAGATAATGAAGATGGGCATGGTGGCAATCTTGATATTGCACCATTATGGAAGAAGCCGCAGAAACTTTACGGATCTAGTTGGATTAATAGATTTTCAGGAATACTCAGCTATTCTTGGAGTTGGCAATGGATACATAACGTCTACAATTGCCATATTAATGAATTGGTACAATAAAATGCTGTTATAATACTTATTCTATTACATTATTTCTAAAATTAATATATAATTGTCTTTAATATAGTTAAGTGAGATCTACCCCTCCAATATAAGTACCTTGTGTATAGTTAAAGGTGAACCTGGTAGAACACTTCAATATGGTATAAAATTTTAAACCATAAACCAAATAATTATTCATAAACATACCATACATAATAATAATAATTAAATTTAACATTATGAAAGATTTATCGTTTACCACGAGCTTGCAGTTCAACGCATATGGCGTTATATTCAGCCCAACGGTTGTTACTCAGGATGATTTAAATGGTCATGGACATAGTTACATGAGAGTGTTTGACACCAATACACTGACCAGCGAACTGATCATGGTCAATTTCTACTTAGAAGGTGTTTTTAAAGCTACTTGGCATCATATTGTTGAATTGGTCACTAATGATAATATATGGGACTGGAAGTCTTATCAAGTGCCATTATTTCTGACCATGCTGCCTAGTTATTTGAAAACCCAGTTAGAGGGTATCGTTGACTATGATTTAAGCCCCGATATGAGGGGACATATGCTATGGTTTAATATCAATGGTCGACCCATGTATTGCTTCACACCTGAGGACAAACCACTGTCCAAACAAGTAATATAAATGAGAATACAGTGTGAATTCGATTATAACAGAATTCTATTTTAACATAAGGTTTTGTTAGCTCCAACGATGTATTGTATATATTTTTAATTAATATATTTTAATTAATATATTTTAATATTTAATATAATATTATAATTTATACTTGGCGTAATATACAGTATATAGAATAAGTTATTTATTCAAATCGAAGTCAGACTGCATTGAAAATAGTAAACCGTCAGACAATATTAGTTTTTCATGGAACATCTTAAATCTTTAATTAATGTTACATTTATTTTCAGTGTTCTTTAGCTAATAATATGATACCGTTTGCAAAGCATTGTTTTAAAACTATTGATACGAATATACATTGTGATGTCGCAAATAAGGTAATGCTATAGAGACTTATTAAACATAGTTTATCATTAGATTATTTATCATTAAAGATAAATTTTATAAATTAACTTTCATTGCAGACCATTTGTCAATATTTTAAAAACAATGACACTTACAGTGGTGTCCATATGTATCGGCACTGGTATAGGAATGACAGGCATCGAGTGGTCTCCACATACAAGTTATACACAGGAATGGGACGGGAAGTGGACGTTGTGTTAGAGCGAACTGACACAACACATCGGGTTATTATTAAAGACCTGCAAACAAATACCACTAATAACTCCCACATTATTTTCGAGGGTTATTTCCTACCGTACGAAAACAGTACACAGATTTACTACATGTATAAGTGTTACGCACAACACATTAAACCCAATAAATTAGATAAACCATGGTGTTTTCAAATCAACTGCCATATAACCACAATGAATATGTGGTTTATATCCGATACAATGTGTTTCAGTGATAAACCCGTTATAATAAGCTCATATCCATCTGGTTTACGGCAGATTAAGTTATACACATTTATTGTGGATAAGAGTACCGGTGCTATCACTACGCTTAACATCTCAGCTAATTATATCACTGATAGAATAGACGCTCGCATTAAATTCAGCAATGAAACATGGTGCGAACGCATTCATGCCATGCAATGTCATCCAATCTATTGTAAATACCCGTTATTTGTCCGGCAATTATCGGCCGCTGGTTTGTTGGCACACTTGGAGTCCTCCATAGAGTACCGTCTGTACGACGAGTCCGGATATATGCTATGGTTTAACATTTCCGGTCAACCCATGTATTGCTTCCAACCCTATGGACAGCTCCTCTCACCACAGGTTTCCATATCTTTTGAAGTGATATTTTATAATTATTTATTTTTTAATTAAATTGTATTCATTTTTTAGTGCTCTTCTGGTGATCGTATGATACCGTTTGTGAGCAATTGTTTTAACTAGAATTAAAATTCAAACAATTATATAAAGTATTAATAATGTTAAAAATGATTAAATGTTTAAAGGAGTTTAATATAATTATTTTTATAATTATATTTTTAATTAATAAAATTTACATATTACAATTAATTGACTTATATATTGTATAAATAAATAATTTAAAATTTTATTCCATATATTGAATGAAAGATCGCTTTTAATTATTTGTATAGATATGTAATTAATAAATTTTATCAATATTCAATATTAATATATGTTTTATTATTTTAAAGAATTTTGAAATAAAATAATTTCGTTGATAAATATACTGTACATAATTAAATTATTAATTATATATCTTTGTTAATTATTATTATTAATAAATTAAAACACATACTTATGGTTAAAATAATATTATTTATAATAATTTAATTTTTAGTTTGATTAGATTTAAGTCTGAATAATATATTCACAATTTTAACAATGTAATAATATTATTATAAAGTCATTTATTAAATGTTTTCATTAATTATCATAATTAATGAATTTGTGATTTAGTAATAATAATAATCAAAATGTTAACGTAATATATAAACAAAATTATATTAATATTCATATTAAATTAAATTATATTAACAAAATTTTAAGTAGTCTATTAAATAATTTAAAAATATTTATCCATAGAATACAACCATAAGTATAATAACAATTAAAGTGCGACGAAATGGTTAACACTTTGCTGATAATATTGTGCATTGGATTTAGCAATTGCTTTAATATATGTGATTACATACAAACGAATGGCACGTATAATGGCATTCAAATACACCGCGATTTTGAAGTGTTGCCCGAATGGGAAAGAAGACCATGGTGGGGCGAGCGTTTTCATTTCAAACATTCGTACCGAACGCATCATGTGATGCATTCTAAACAGTTTTACTGGAAATTTGTCATACCCGATAACAATATTGAATCCACATGGTTTGATATATACGAACCAAATGGTCCAAAGGTACATGATAACTATAACAATCAAACCTGGATCAATGTGTTTTCGGGTTTCATCTCATCTCCGGGCACTGGTCTCTGGAAAGGGTCTGAAATCAGTTATCGATGCGATATCTATGATTCGGTAATATTTTGTTATTTTTATCTGTTTGAACAATGTATAAATATGTATACTTCAATCTAAATATAGTCCAATAACGTAAGCGAAACAAAATTGACAACACGATGCACAATGGGTAATTTAAAAAACACTATGCTGTATAATTTTATATTAATTACTATAATAGATTTATATTATTATTTCAATTATCGTGAAAATATATTCTATTAATTTATTTTATCTTATCTGAAATATTAATTAAAGGAAACATACATTTATATACAAATACGCAATTTAATGGATATGGCGTTATTTATAGTCCTATATTTACCACCACGTTATTTAATGTTATTAGCGCTACCGGAGGTAAGATCTGCTTTAACTATAAATAACAAAAACTGTCTGAATAACCATCTAATTTAATCATAATTTATGTCACATAAACTTGATTATATACATCAAATGATATACAAATCAAAGTCTAAGACAGTATTTGGCCAGATATTTGCGGTTGTTTGCGTACACTCGTGGCCGTACTGTTAACAACATTAACGTAGGCTTCAATGCATGAAACACTACTTAATAATAACATTTTAACTGCATACATTGATACCCACGTTAATGTTGGTGACAGTATGGCTGCGAATGTCCGCAAACGCAGTCGGATTACTGGCCAGAACGGGCCTATGGCTGTCGTTCACTAATCATAATTTATTCCATATATAATAAATATATTTGTTTAAATTTTATTCCAATTGAATTAATAGTTTTTAATTTATTAAATAAATTAATTAATGCAGATTCGACCTACTATAGCATTATGTACGTGTTGGACACAAATACGCTGACAAACAAAGTGATCATGTTTAGGCGCGGTTTTGCTAATTTTGTTACATTATATATTCATATAACAATTTTCAACAAGGACACAACCATGTTTTTACCGTACTTTTACGCTTATGCGATCTTAAACAATCCGCACGCCTTTGACATCCCATTATTTTTGACCATGTTGCCAGATTATTTGAAGGCACAGTTGGAAAGTATTGTTGAATACGATTTGGGTCTTACCTTCAGGGGACATATGCTGTGGTTTAATATCAACGGCCGACCCATGTATTGCTTCACACCTTTAGGCAAACCACTGTCCAAACAAGTAAGAAATTAAAACAATGTATTAAATTATGTATCGTTTAATGCCAATAAAATTTGATATAGTATAATTTAATATACACCAAATTATTTCCAAATTTATATTCTAATTTATTTTTATAATTTTCAGTGCTCTTTAGCTGATAATATGAAACCGTTTGCCGATTATTGCTTTAATGCTAAAAATAATATTGCCGATCAAGTAATAATTGTTACAAAATAATTTATGTTATAAAGAAATATATATGAAAATCATTATTTATTAAATAAATTATTAATGTAGAAAACGTGCCAACATTTCATAACCAATGACACCTACAGTGGTGTCCATATGTATCGGCACTGGTATAGGGATTACAGGCGTCGAGTAGTTTTCAGATATAAGTTATACACAGGAATGGGACGGGAAGTGGACGTTGTGTTAGAGCGAACTGACACAACACATCGACTTATTATTAAACAGATGCAAACATATCACGATTCTAACAACGATATAATATCCGAGGGTTATTTCTTATTAGACAACGAAAACAGCAAGAACATTTATTATATGTATAAATGCTACACGCAATATATACCATGGAGATCAAATCCACCATGGTGTTTTAAAATTCAATGCAATGTACCTATATTGGACAAATGTATCACATCAGATACGTTGTGTTTAGGGGGAAAACCAATTATAATTAGCTCACATCCGGACGGTTTGCGACAAAATGAGTTATACATATTCATTGTGGACCGGAATACTGGTTCCATCACTGTTTTGAACGTTGCACTAAATAATGAGAAATCACCACAAATTAAATTGATTAATGACAGATTGTGTGCTGACAGTCAATCAATGTATTGCAAGCCACCGGAGTTTGTCAACCAATTATCGGCTATTGGTTTGTTAGGACAGTTGGAGTCCGCCATCGATTACCGACTGTATGACGAGTCCGGATATATGCTATGGTTTAACATTTCCGGTCAACCCATGTATTGTTTCACACCCTATGGACAGTGCCTCTCGATTCAGGTATTTATTATTGGTTGTCATTTAATTTTAATAAATTGATTTGTGTATATATTTTTAGTGCTCTTCTGGCTATAATATGATACGTTTTATGAGCGAATGTTTTGTTTAAAAATTTTAATATATTTTTAGATAAATATTGAATTAAATGCTAACAAGAAGAATTGAATTCGTAAGAATTAAATTCTAAGTTAAAAGAACCCTAAATTAATACAATGTAATTTACAATATTTTTGTATTTATCATTCTTATTAATTATTGGATTTATGGTTTTATTTAATTAATATAAAACTTTATAAAGCTTTACTTTACTTGAAAATTTTATAATAAATAATTTATAATATCGTTTAAATGTTTATTTACTAAAATTGTATTTTCTTAATAACTTAGTTAATTTATAAAAAATAACAATTAAAGTATTAATTAATTAAAATAATAAATAAAAATATCAATTTCTAACATTTTAAAATATTTTTTAAGAATTTACAGTATGAGTAATATTATCTCTAGTATGAATAACTTGTTTACTATACAGGATGTTAAGTTAACTAATTAATTAATATAACAATAATAAAACTAATCAGACGCATAAATCATAGTAAAATATTTAATTCAGATCAAGCTATTAAATATTGTAAATGAAAATTCATTAAGCAAAAAAATTAATAATGAAAACATTTTTATTCATATTGTTGATTGTGGGCACCGATTGTTTTGACATTTGTAATTACATACAAACGAATGGCGCGTATAATGGCATTCAAATAATACGAATGTGGACAGTTGATATTGGTGACATGTTTGATTCATACTATACAATGACATCCAAACATTACACCTGGCCGTTTGCCATTGTGTCCCACCAAACCGGGCTTGATATTAGTTTGTATGATCCATCATGGACAGAACCAAGAAAAATTCATGGACCAAGTTGGATTAATAGATTAACCGGATTTGTAACAAGTCACTTCAAACCACGTAACTATACTATTAGTAGAAATTATATTTTAAATGTATATTGCTGTGTAACAGCATTTATGTGCTTTCATTAAAAAGCATACACAATACTCTGTAAAGAAATTGCAATTATACTTTAATATATCTTTTACCACCTTTTTATCATTTTTTTTCTAGCCTTAGTTATTAGAGAGTCAAACCCGTATGACAGAAGCAGCTATATTTGCGATATTGATGAATTGGTATGCAGTGGTAGAAACATATTGTTAATTGTTTTAATTATATATTGTCGTTAATTAGTCAACTGAAACCGCAGCCTCGCATTTATTAATCAAATGTGAAGTTTATGACGGGGGGCAAGTATAATTTTGCTGTTACTAAATAACTGTTTTTGTTTTCATTACCTACATAAAAATTCGCTATACTTATAACCAAGAGTCACAAACTCGTTCCCCTGAGGGAACATAACATCAAACAGTATGTTATAATTTATACGCTATTCATAATTCATTCAGATATAAAGTATATTAATATAATGAGTGGGGTTTAAACGCGATTAGTTTATATTAAATAAACTTTTATATGAAACTTTTGATTATTTGTCATGGGCATCAGGGTACTTTATGACTGTAATTATTGTAACGTTTATAATGAATACTAGTCGATTAATAAGCTTGTTGATTCAAAAACCACGTCTAACAAATTTCAGCCCCGCCATCCCTCTAACTGCTCATGCTTATAACTAACAATACACATTATGATGATGATAATAATTTAATTCAAATTTATGAAAGTTAGTTACAAATTTAGCCCGCAATTGCAGTTTAACGCTTATGGCGTTATATTCAGCCCAACGGTTATCACCAAGCCAGATTCTCTGCCAAAAGATACATTTCATAGTTATCTAAGAGTGTTTGACACGAATACTCTGACAAGTGAACTGATCAGGGTCAATTACTACATAGAAGAAGTTTGGCGTATGATATATGTTGCCAAACCGCATTTCTATATTGATTTGGCTAACGATGATAATATGTGGGAATGGCGCCCTCATCAAATGCCACTATTTCTAACCATGTTGTCCAACAATTTAAAGGCACAGTTGGAGGGTATTGTTGATTACGATTTGGGGCCACACAATAGGGGACATATGCTATGGTTTAATATCAACGGCCGACCCATGTATTGCTTCACACCTGAAGGCAAACGACTGTCCAAACAAGTAATGCAAATGTATATACAGAATGAGGTTCTAACCTAAAATTATGTTAGCATGATATTTTAATAGATAATCTATTATAATAGATGTCGGATCGTATTATTTTTGTTCAGGACATCTTATATTTAAATTAATGTGACATTTATTTAATATTTTCAGTGCAAATATACCAATAATATGAAACCGTTTGCAAAACATTGTTTTAAAACCAGAGATATTATTGTCGATGAGGTACAAAATATTTGTATGCAGTGCAACCTCCCAGTACGTAACCCCTTTCAATAAAACTTTTCATATAAAACACTTGAATTGTTTGTTTCTATAGAAAGGTTGCACTGTATGACCAAGATTGTTTATAAATATTTATGAATTAACTTTTTTGCAGAAAACGTGCCAACATATCAGGTCTAATGACATCTACAGTGGTGTCCAAATGTATCGACACTGGTATAGGGATCACAGGCGTCGAGTGGTCTTTACATTCAGGTTGTCTACAGGAATGGGACGGGAAATGAACGTTGTGTTAGAGCGGACTAACACAACACACATTACAGCTATTATTACAGAATTGATACATTCAAGCGATAACACCGACATTATTTTCGAGGGTTATTTCCCAAATTATGAAAACAGCACGTACATTTACTACATGTATAAATGCTACGCGCAATACACTTCAGACATACCGTTAAAGTTATCATGGTGTATTCAAATTACATGTCACATGTCTATACTTAATACATGGTTTAAATTGGACAAATTATGTTATAATGATAAACCCGTTATAATAAGCCCACACCCGAGTGTTTTACGAAAGCGTGAATCGTATGTATTTATTGTGGACAAGAGTACCCATACTGTGACTGGACTGAGCGTTGATGTGAATGATATGACCGGTGGAAATGCTCCGCGTATTACACGTGTTGATCAAATATGGTGTCGAAACAAACGGTCGATCTATTGTATGCGTCCGGCGTTTGTCCGCCAATTATCGGCCGCTGGTTTGTTGACACACTTGGAGTCCGCCATCGATTACCAGATGTACGACGAGTCCGGATTTATGCTATGGTTTAACATTTCCGGTCAACCCATGTATTGTTTCACACGCTATGAACAGCCCCTCTCACCACAGGTTTTCAAATATTTTTAATTGTCATTTTTATTATTCATTAATTTTATTATTTGTATGCATTTTCAGTGCTCTTCCATCGATCGTATGATACCGTTTTTAAACAACTGTTTTGTTTAAAAATTTTATTTAACAATTAATATATCACCGAAATAATCCACTTTAATTAAAAATGTTTTAAAAATTTCATAATTAATTTATTATTTGAAATAGTTTTACTATTTTGTATATCATTACAAAAAATTCCTATGTTGATTAATCACAACTTAATTATTTATGCAATTTATGGATTATTTATATTACAATTTTAAACTTTTTAGTCATTTCAGTTTTATTATTTAAAATAATATTATTTTATTATAAGTATTTAATTATACAATTTTATTCATCTATTATTTAATTTTGCATAAATATAATAAACATTTTGTTATAATGCAGTATACAGTAAATGTCAATTTGTAAATTTACATTTTCTGAATTATTTTGAAAAACAACAATTATAATATTGGAGTGATTCTTGACTATACAGGATGTTTACTTTACTAATTAATTAATAACAAATAATACATTTATTATTGCTAACATAATTAGTTACGTCCAAAAAGTAATAGTAAAATATGTCATACAAATTAATATTATCATTATTTTAAAGGAAACGCTATTGTGATTACTTATAGTTGAAAAAATAATTAAATTAATGGAGAAATTTGTGCTTATTTTGTTGATTGTGGGCACCGATTGTTTTGATATTTGTGATTACATACAAACGAATGGCACATATAATGGCATTCAAATACACCGTGAGTTGCAAGAGTGCACTTATAAGGATATCAAGAAGTGCGATACATTTGCATCTTCGTATTATGCGATGCGATCAAAGCATATGTACTGGAAATTTGCCATTGACCATGCACATAATGACACCGGTATCCACATTAAACTCGAAAATAATCCAACAAAACACTCTTATGACTCTATTTACACCGATGCAAAGTATGTCAATTGGTTTTCTAGATTAATAGTTATGCACACCTTGCTTCATCGTTATGAATTCACCTATCGTTGTAACCAATATGATTGGGTAACAAATCATATTTTGATTATATTAAATACATTATGACTCGGTTGGCCATATAAGGCGGCGGCCAATATCCGGGCCATATTATACTAAAATATACGATATTATAATTTTAATAATTTTATTTACAAAAATAGTCTAAAAGTAACAGCGAATTGAATATAACAACTCATTGTATAATGGAGATTGATAAGTAAAGAATATCCTTATAAATACTTTAATAATAATTATATAATACTTTCAATTATTATTAGCTAACTAAAAAATTGTTTTTATTTTAAAGCTACATTCTTAATCGAAGGCACATAATTACGTCGAGGGCACAATTCAACGGCTATGGCGTAATTTTTAGCCCGATCGTTAGTACTCGTAAACATTTAGAAGACCATCCTGATAGTTATATGCATGTGTTGGACACAAATACACTGATGGGCCAAGTGATCAGGATTAGATTTTATCGCACAGGTCCTTGGTCATATGATTGGAACGGTTATGTTGACATTTGTACCGATGCAACCATGTGCGATTGGCATTCCTATGGGACGCCTTTATTTTTATATATGCTGTCCGAGGATTTGAAGGCACAGTTAGAGGCTATCGTTGATTATGATATTAGACCCGATATGAGGGGACATATGCTATGGTTTAATATCAACGGCCGACCCATGTATTGTTTCACACCTGAAGGCGAACGTCTGTCAAAACAAGTAATAAATAAAATTATAAATTAATACATTTACAAATTGTTATTTAATTGTTACTTATAATTTATTTATTTTCAGTGCTCTTTAGCTGATAATATGATACCGTTTGCAAATCATTGTTTTAAAACTTTAAATATAATGGCAGATGAGGTAATAATAAGATAATTAGTGGTATATTATATCGAATACGAGTTCAATATTATATAACACGTTAATTATGATAATTAATATTATTTATAAACTATTAGAAAACGTGTCAACATTTCAAGATCAATGACACCTACAGTGGTGTCCATATGTATCGGCACTGGTATAGGGATGACAGGCGTCGAGTGGTCTCTACATACAAGTTATACACAGGAATGGGACGGGAAATGGACTTTGGGTTAGAGCGAACTGACACAACACATCGGGTTATTATTAAAGGATTAC